ATTAAAGCTTCCAAATCTTCAGTCACTTTTTAAGCATAACAATCTGGTTTCTGAGAAAATCTTGAACTGTTTATCATTTCTTCTGATGAAAGAACTAAATCATTCAAAAGTAGTTTTATTAAGTTGCTGCTTCATAGAGTTAAGTTCTTTATTCTATGAATAATATATAGAATTAATTATATATTATTTTTTGTGAATTATTATGCTCACAGGCAATTAAATAAATTTCAAATAGATTTGCTTCGCAATAGGATACTGCAGTTGAGTTTTTTACAATAAACGTAAATAAAAACTTATTAAAATACCTTTAGTCATATGAAGACAATACAGTAAATGATTCAAACATAAAGTTCAATATAAGTTTAATTTAGATTATTTTTTTTTTTTTTGTAAATTTAAGCTTATAATTGACAAGTTTTAATTAAAAATGAAGACTTAATACTAATAATAAATATATATGTTGTACTTCATACAAAATAATATCTTAACTATAACGATAACGCATATTAATTTAATTTATATCTGTTTAGGCCTTTGATTAGACGCTCATTAGTTGCATGACCTATTATATTTTTATTTTAAATTATATAGATTCTGATAATTGTTTGATGAAGTTTTATTACTTGATTTTAATTTAATTTAAATTTTTATTTTCATTAGCATGTAGGAAATAATTTTTATATTAATCAACTATTTATTCTCTAATCTAGAAAGAATATACAATATTGACTAATTGTAAACCACCAGAGAAAGGTATGATAAGGTAATATAAAAAATTAAAACCCATTTTATTTTAATTGAATAGTATTGACTCAAAAAATTACTCAAAATTGTAGCACTGTATAACACTCATAGGTCATGAATAATAAGCATCCAATCAAAAGCTTAAAGACAGAACACAAATCAACCTTTTTAAAATTATAACAAATTTACAATAGAATCAGCAAATAAAAAAAGGCATTTTCTTCGTGTTTTATTTATTAATTTTTGTGTAAAGGTAAGACCTAGCCTCTAGTCTTTTATTAAATTGTATTGTTAATTAAAATGTATTTATAATAATTAAATTTATTGAGTAAAGAAAGCAAAACAAGCAATATATAAATGAATATTAATAACGATTTAACCTATAAGAAAACTTGAATGTATAATAATTTAATTATAAGAATTTTGAACTGTATAATTTTTAAAAACTCTCTTCTAATTCCTTTAAGCTCTCGTCAGATAGCTTATAATAATCATTATTATCTGCTAGTTCCTGCTCTTCAATTTTTTTAAGAAGCACAGCAAATTCATCCTTTGTCATAACTCTTAGTCTGGGTGGGTCGATCGTTTTGCTATCATAAATTACTTGCCAACCCAATCTTTGAACAAGTATTAATGAATGTCTGGCTGCAATTATTATATTTTTGATTATTGCTAGTTTAACTTTATGATAAATTGTATATGATTCTACTAATATTTTATTTACACGGCTTGCAATCCTTTCACCTTTGGCAAATTCACGATTCTAGTTATTTGCTTCTGGGTTTATTTCTTGTCTCTTTTCTCCAGTCACTTGATCAACTACAGTGATAAATCCGGGAATAAAAAATTGATCAGAGTTTTTTAGTTCTTTTATTCTTTTTGTTAGCTTAAAAGAGATATGCACTAATTCGCAAAGAGTATGGATGTATAAAACTCTCGAAAATTGAAAATCATTTTCGTTATTTGAGATTTTTTTCCAAATAATTTTAATCTGACTTTCGATATCATCTCCTTCCTCAATTTCCATAGGCACTGTTAAAGAACATGAAAATTCAATTCACTTATCAAATATTTCTCTAAAAATTTCAACATTTGGTATATTATTTTGAATAATTATTGGTTTTGGATCTCCATTAATTTGGATATCGGTGCGACTTTTTATTTTATTCTGCTAGATTTTCAAATCTTATTAATATTAAATATAGATCAAGTTAACATATTCATATTATAAATTCTTACCTGATCAAGCTTTAAGTAAATAAATAAATATATTTTAGATAATGACCATCATTATGTTCGTATTATATACTAATTATAATAAAATATACTACCTGATCAAGCTTTAAGTAAATAAATAAATATATTTTAGATAATGACCATCATTATGTTCGTATTATATACTGATTATAATAAAATATACTAATATTTAGCTTTAGATGTAGTATTATACTAATATGAAAGTATAAAACTTACATGCTTAAACTAAGCTATATTGGTATAGTATTACTATAAGGAGATATAATACATATAGATTAAACAAATCCCTTAATAAAACTTGGCATACTTGTAAAGATTGACTATCTTTATCGAAAGTATTATCTTCAATTTCATCAATTAAACCTTCAACTTGATTTACTGAGTGGAGAGAGGTTGAACTTCGAGAACTATTGAGTTGTGTGAATGATTCCTTTGTAGTTTGATAAATTTAATTACAATCTTGAAATATACTTTTAAATCTGTTGAGATTTGATTATAAATACGTACCTTATTTGTGTCTGATTGGGTTACTGGCACATTCTCTGTTTCATCTATTTGCTTTTAAAAATAACAAAATAAATAATAAAGACTAGTGAAATTTTGTTATCATAGTAGAGTTTACCTGTCTATTACTAAAATGTTCATCCTCTTCTATAACAACAACAGGAATATCTTCAATAGAATCATCGATAGAACTATCATTATGCGATGTTGATTTTTCTATAATTTTCACATACTTTCTTATAAGTAAAAATTTTAAATTATATAGCCAAAACTTGATATAATAATAATACCTAAAGGATTCGATGAAGCCTCGCATTTCTTATTGCAATTCGTTGTCTTTTTCTTTGAAGATTTCCTTATATTTTGACTATCTTCATCGTTAGAATCTGAAATATCCTGCTGTGCCTTATATTTTTTAACACTTTTTGATTTCAATCTTTTGTTTTTTTTTGCACTTCGATTATCAATTTCATCTGAACTTGAATAATCAATTCGTATTTTACATTTCGATCTCTTTGAATTCCCACTTTCACACTCCTTACAGTACTAATTTCCGGAGGGAATTCTTGCGAGCGGAGGATTTAAACAACTAGTATGAAAATTTTTGCCAAGGACCATCACACAAGAGGATGTGACCTCTGTCGCCTTTCCATGAGCATACAGAACAACCACAATATGCGCACATTTCCTTTTTATTTCCATAGCAATCTTCACATTCTGACCATCTTGGTGAATCGTAATTACTTACATCCAAGTCTTCTTCCTACAAATTTTTTGATGTCAATAATGTATATTAATAAATTTATTTTTTAAATTTATTAATCGATTACTGAAAATTCCTACATTATCGTTATCTTGAATAGATCCAATATCATTGGCTTGTGTACTATTGTTTGCTAGGTTCGTTTGTTCAAGCATTCCAGAAATAACATTGATTGATTGTTGGTCATTGGATATAGATTCTTCCGTCTCTCTGATATTTTCAGTTTGCTAAAATTTGTGATTTGTTAACGATAAATTAAATTTTTAACTTAATTGTAGAAAACTTTCAAATTCCTTATGGTTTTTTTTCTTACTCGATTGTCATTAATGTGTTCATTATTAGGCTGGTTCATATTGCCAATTGAAAATTGATCATTGGTGCTAGCAGTTTGCGAATCAGGTAATAGTTTATTTATTTCCTCGTTATTTTCAAAGTCATTACTATTATTCTCTTTTTGCTGTGATTTCAGTGATTTGTTAATAATTAATTACGCCTATAATTAATATTATTGAAAATTTTGGATTCTCACTAACATGTGGATATTTCGAAGCATCCTTTATTAATCATCAATTTCATAATAAAAATAAAAAAAATAAAAAAATAAACATCTATTAAAGCATTATTTTCAATAGCAACTTTTGAAATCTCTTACTTTATTTTCATATTTCTTTTCGAGATTTTAAAATAATCATTCATATGACTACCTTTAGCCTGTTGGTTTTCTTTCAAATTTAATGTATCATTTTCACTTGTTTGAGCGTCAACATTGACTTCCGATAGTCTATCGCTGTCTGGATCCTAAGTTTTATTTAAAAGTACTTAATGTTACTGTGTCGATTGATTAATAAATGTGGCAGATTAAGACGAAATCCAATTAAAATAAAATATTCGTAGTGTAAAATAGGCAAAATATTTTTTAGAGTTACGTGTCTGCTTTAGGGTAGAATTTATAATAAGCGATTGGGTTTTAGGGAAAACAAATTTTATTTTAATCCAATTTCATTATGACCTGCAACAAAATATTTTAATATCGATTACATCTTCAATAGTAATAGATTCTTTCCCCTTTATATTGGCTAGATCATTGTTTATTTTCCAATAAATTTCTTCAGAAATTAGAACCACTCCAGATGTGTCCAAATTTTCAGTATCCTTAGTGCCATTAGTTAAGAAAATGGTTGCTAAGCACGAGGCATCATTGAAAACAATTTCCCTAACTCCTCCTTTAGTAGCTTCCCATATAAGATTAATCGAACATCTAATAATTTCCTTTTTATTTTCTATAGTTTCGGCCATTATCCTTTTAACTGTGCGATAGTAAAAGAGAAAAGGTGAAAAATCAATGTGGGTATCAATGATGAATTTATATTTACAATTTGACTATTGTTGATTAAAAATTTAATAATGGTGATATCAACTGATATACTTATAATTTTGATAGTTTCTTAAATTACGTTGATTAATTTTCTTGTCATAGATTAAATCAATAGAAAAAGATTTATTGTGTAATCATAACAATTTTAAAATATGGTGATTAATAATTTTTCTTAATAGTTCGTTTCGAGCATGCACAAAATAATAATAATAATTACATTGTTATATAAATTGTTTTTTTTTTTTTCTGAGCTAACTAATTTTTAAGCATGAATAATAACAAGCCTTTATCGTTATATGAAATTGTGGCATTAAGCTGTTTTAGTTGCGGTCCGAATTAAGATTGATTCGGGCCGTAACTCCATTCACATTGAATATTTTGCAATCACTCGTTATAGTGAACAGACCATATAAAAACCTTCCACTCGATATTAGTAAATTTACGAAAATTTTCCTAATTGACTCGAAATGTTCACAACCGAATCACTTCACAATAGTATATCCTCAGAAAGCATCAACCATTTTTCAAATCAAATTTTGACATTTATTTGATTAATCACATGACTTATTTCAGCATCCACCAGTGCTGAAATACATACGACATGTGAGAAGTTATTATGCAATATGAATATTTATAATTTATATTCTGATTTAAAACCTGGTTAGTTTGAGAAACTTCATATTAACGTTAAACTCTAATTGTTATGCAAAATATAAAAATAGCAATTAGAGATGTGGCCGTTCACGTCTCTAGACACAACAAATAAATCTAAAAAATTTACAGTTTTAACTTTTATCAGCTGAAATTTATGTTTAACATTTTATAGAGTAAAAAAACTTTTTAAAAATATGTTTTTAATTTATTTTTATATCAGATAAAACAAAAATAAAATATTTCTAAAATAGAATCTAGATCCAGATATAGGATATCCGGTGGTTATATAGCTGTCTGAATTTGTAGCATTAATGTTATATTGATATAGTAATTGTAAAAAAAAAACTTTATCCTTATCCAACCATCTGATGTCAAGCAAGTATTACTGTATACGGCTTTGTAATTCAGTTTAGACACTAGTATGTATCCAATCTTGTTCGCAGAAACAATATGTACAGTACATAAGTATTGTGAATCCTATTTTTATGTGGAGATCAACATTGCAGTTTCATTTTAGAAGTTTTGAGTTTAAATTAAAAGTTCCAGAAGTTAAATGTTCTTTGCAATGATAATACCAAGTTATAAGTATCAGCCACTGTTAGGCTATAACATAATCATTACGATAAACTTATGAAATATTCCAAAATTCGAGATAATCAATATCCTCAGGTTTGAACATATTATTATAATAAATTTCTATGTCTAATGGGATGGTGAAGATGTGTTAGACGCGTTATCAATCTATATCAGAGGTCAAAAATTTTAGATTTGATAACTAAAATTTAAATTTAGTAAATTTATATGATAATAAATCTAATGGATATCGTTGAACAATCAATTTAAAAAAATTATTGTCGCAGCTGATGCTGAAAACAGCTAATGCTGAAATTTTAATTATTTTATTATTAAATTTTTATAATTTTTTGGGGTGCATTTTTTTTAGTCTTCATATAATAGTTTGAGTAGAGTTTAGGGCAGGGATGGTAAATGATCTGAAATGACCCAAATGAGATATATATATAATTTTATACCTACAAGCTAATAAATTCATATAATATATTTAATATTTAGTAATTCATTTTTGAAAGATATAAAAATTAATAATTGAGATTAATATAATTTACTTACATGCTAATAAAAATAATATTTTTAATAATAACTTTTTATAAGAATTATTTTAAAAATAATGATGATCTGTATACCAACATATATATAGAGATAAGTTTACTATAATTTTTTAAAATTTTTGAATCAGGCACTGCATTTATTAGGTTCTTCAGTTCACTTTATTTTATTGGTATGCAGATCATAAATAATTTAAATTTACCATCTAATACAAAATATATGTGATCTATTAGAAAAAAATATTATTTAATAAAAAATAATTAAACTTTAATCTGAAAAAAGTAATTATACAGTTACCGTCTATTTTAATATATAAATCAATTAAATATATATTTTAAAGCAAATTCTATTTAAAAATTTATAAATAAATAAATAAAAATAATATTTACCATCTAATTTAAAATATAATTTTTAATTATTAATTAAGAAAAAATACAAAAGCAATATAATTACCATCTAAAATATATTAGATGCAATATATTAGAAAAAAGTATTTAATGATAGTTTTTATAAAAAAAGTTTAAAGTACATATTTATGCACTGACTAATACAAGATATTTATGTTTACAAGAAATTGTTTTTAAAGAAATCAAAAAAAAGAAGCGTAATGTCTTGTTAAAAATTTCACATATAAAAAAAGAAAAATTACAAATACAACATACCTCTTCATCCGAAAATGATTCCGATAGTACATGAACCGTCATTTTTTCAAATTATAATTAATATATCTTTATTGATAACTGTAAAAAGACGAATCAACGCATCGGATGCTGCAATTGGAAAATTGCAAATAAGCAGTAAGTTATCACAAAGATAATTATCCAAAAGTTTAAATAAGGTTAATTAATGCTTTTAAATAAATCCCACAAGAACCATGAATAAAATTGAAAAAAATAAGGCACACCACTTAAATAACTTTGAAATTGTCCAAAAAAATCAATTTATAGTGTATGGTGATAAACTTTTTTCTAAGAGCAGATAGTATCAATGTGATTAATTTTTCCCTTCGACCATTACATTCTTATTCAACCAATATGAAATCATTGGATAACTATTTTAAAGAATGGGCTGTATATAATGATGGGTGATGCAACGATTTTGGCGATGACACAGTGGTTTCGTTAGACAAAACTTTGACGACAATTGACGCAACTATTGACACAAGTTTGGCCTTATGCAACAACAAATAAGCTCTGCATGAATGGGTTTTTATTAATTTTTATATAGAAATTAATTTAATTTCTATATGAAACTTAATAAAAACCTATTTGTGCAGAGCTTATTTTAAAGGTATATCATAAAATTTAATTTTAAAATTAAAAAAGTAATTTCTCAACAACTACCTCATCAAATTGGCTCAAATTTTTTGTCATAGCTATAAAAATGCTTGAATTTTAACATACTAAGTTTTTAAAATTTTTAATTTTGATTCTGATTTTTTATTAATTTTTGATTATTTTCAATTATTTTTCTCTATTTTTTAAAAAAAATTTCAACAAAAAGTTGTCTCTCATATAGCTTTTGTATTGTAATTAAAAAAATATAAAAAAAATTTACTGATCTAGATTTTTATAAAACAACTTACTATAAAAGTTTCAAAGCTATAGCTTTCAAATTTAAAAATTAAAAGGGGTGGGATACTTATGACTGTGACTGTATTTGCTTTTTAGTAACAAAAAATATAGAATAAGAAAGGACTATAAAAAAATATTACCCGTTTTTTTTATTGTATAATAAAATTTAAATTTATAGTTTTTAGATTAATTTATAGATTAATTTATTAGGCTTAAATTTATATTTTCTTTTCATTATTAAAAACATACCTAAACAATTTATTCAAAATAGATGTGACAAAATACCAATGAACAAACCTTTTATCAACTAAGTAGATGTGGTCTCTAGTAATTTAGCTTATTAAATTTTTTGTTCAGTATGATTTATCAGCAACATATTTTATATATAAAAAAATATAAAATCAGCGTCCTGTAACTTTTTTTAGATACTCAGGTTGTAATTTTCTTTTTTTTATATTACATATAGAAACCATATTTTTTTTCTAATTTACTTTCTCTATACTATTCACTCAGACAGTTTGGATAAATTAAGCTAGCTGGTTTTAAATTAAAGATAGAATTTGGTACTATAACTTACTTTGTATAGGCCTTCTATCGACTTGTTGCAATATCTGAATATTGTACAATCAATACGACATTGCGAAATTAATACTTTATGTAAAATTCTTTCTTTTATATAGTGAATTA